TACATGTTTCTTAACTTATTTTATAACTATTTGTTTATCCTACATATGTTGGATATATTATTTATACATATTTTAATACGCTTCTTGATGTCAGAAAATATATATTTTATTAAAGACAGGAGACAAATATTACCCACCCATTAAATCACCTCTATATACATAGATTTATTTATTGTCTTTCAGCTTAAGCCTCTGGAGTCTCGGATGCCAAAATTCCAGTTAAGTTTATTACCCAGTTGAAGTTTGTTTTTGTTTTTTTGTCAATCTTTATTTATTGCCATACATAACAATAACAATAGTCGCAGCCATGCCACAACAACCATGGCATGAAAAAACACATATACATGTGCAAGCTTGTCAAGATATGGAGCGTTTGCTCTAATTGACTCAGTGCAGATAAGCATATGTAAAGTAAGTTAAGACAATAGAGAGGCAACAAGGCAGAGGTGCAAAATTAAAGGCATCAAAACATAAGAAAACTAGAACAGTGGACATCTTTCGCAATGTCTACATTGGCAGTCATGTTCCCAGTTGAGTAGACGCTGCACCTCATGGAACAAATGGTACCAGCTGACTGGGATCCCAGGCTTGTACCGTGGTATCTGGAGTTTGTTCCGTTGCTAAGGTGGTTAGTTTCACATCATGCAGGAATTGTGGTGCGTCTGCGGATGATAAACAGACAAAATAACAATACTTGTGTCAGTGTCCACATTTTTCTGAACTTAAAGGACCACTATAGGCACCCAGACCACTTCAGCTCAATGAAGTGGTCAGGGTGCCAGGTCCATCTAGGATTAACCCTGCCTCCTGTAAACATAGCAGTTTCAGAGAAACTGCTATGTTTACATATGGGTTAATTCAGCCTCCAGTGGCTGTCTCATTGACAGCCACTAGAGGCACTTCCGCGCCTCTCACTGTGATTTTCACAGTGAGAAGACACCAGCATCCATAAGAAAGCATTGATAATGCTTTCCTGTGGACTGGCTGAATGCGCATGCGCATTCAGCCGATGACGGGGAAAGGAGAAGGAGAGTCCCCAGCACCGAGGGAGCCCGGCGCTGGAAAAAAGGTAAGAGATTAACCCCTTCCTCACCCTAGAGCCCAGCAGGAGTGGGGCCCTGAGGGTGAGGAGGACCCAAGGATCCTATAGAGCCAGGAAAACAAGTATGTTTTCCTGGCACTGTAGTGGACCTTTAACTGTATATACAATGCAAAAAATAAGTGCATAACAGGAGTGCATCTTACTTGTATGTATATCCATAAAAATATACACGTTAAAGAAAAACGTGTCTGCATATCCAACACATTATCTGGGATATTTCCCATTATCTGGGATGGACAAGGCCCATTGATAAAAATAAATAAATTATGTGTTTTTCTTTTACTACTCTGAACATGTTTTTATGCAGAGGGAATTAAGTTGGAGTACAAAACTTGTGTGTACTGGCTGACTACGAATGAATAATGTTGACATTGCACACTGTGCACATGCTCTTACCGCTTCAGTCTCGCTAACAGTATGACATGTCCCCATTCTGTGACACACCCTACATCCAGGGCCGGATTAAGAGCACACTGGACCTGCTGCTGACAATTATGATGGGCTTAATTACAGAATCTTTTCGACAGAAAACTCAGGATGCTTATATAAAAGCACTCACCGAGTGAAATAAATAACATATCAGGCAGTGGGTGAACAATCAGTTCTTTAATTTCATGTGTACAGAGCAGGAATAATAGACAAGCAAAAAGACCTGAATGACTTTGACAAGAACAGTGGTGGTGAGTCAGAGCATCTCCAAAACGTCAAGTCTTGTGGGGTGTTCCCAGTATGCAGTGGTTAGTACCTACCAGGGGCAGGCTGGGACGGGGGGCAGGGAGACAATTGCCCCCCAGGCCGCCCTAAATCATTTTAAAACCGGCCGCTGCAGGGCCGATCCTAATGCTGCAGCCACCTGAGCGCTCTGTAAAGAGCCTCAGGCGACTGCAGCACTGCTTCTCTCCTTACCTCCCCTTCCCTGTTGTGTGGCCAAGCTCCTTTCTTGTCCACGGTACCCGGCCGGACTGATAGGAAAGTGCACACTCAGTGTGCACTTCCTGTCATTCTGGCCGGGTACAGGAAACAGAAACTCTGCGCGGTACAGGAGTTTCTGTTTCCTGTACCCGGCCGGACTGACAGAAGAAGAACAGGGGAGGGATGGAGGGGTAAGAAGAACAAGGGGGGAGTAAGAAGAACAAGGGGGGAGTAAGAAGAACAAGGGGGGAGTAAGAAGAACGGGGAGGAGTAAGAAGAACGGGGGGGTAAGAAGAACAAGGGGGGAAGTAAGAAGAACAGGGGAGAGTAAGAAGAACACAGGGAAGAGGGGAGGAAAGTAAGAAGAACACAGAGAGGAGGAGGGAGAGTAAAAAGAACACTGGGAGGAGGGGGGAGAGTAAGGGTGAGGAGAAGGGGAGATGAGTAGAACAGGGGGGAGGCACTGAGAAGAACACAGGGAGGGTGGGTGGTGAGGAGGACACAGGGAGGAGGGGGGTAAGAAGAACACAGGAAGGGGGGTGAGGAGATGAGGAGAACACAGGGAGGGGGTAGGTGAGAAGAACACAGGTGGGGGAGTGAGAACACGGGGGGTGAGTGAGAAGAACACAGGGAGGGGGTTGAGAAGAGCACAGGGAGGGTGGGTGAGTGTGAGAAGAGACCACTAAGAGGCAGGGGAGACCTCTAAGGGACAGAAGGGAGAGCTCTATAGGACAGGGGGCAAGACAGGGAGCTCTTTCACACTACGCGCACACACAATGCATCCCTATACATACACAGAAGCACACAATGCATCCCTACACACACAGAAACACAACATGCTTCCCTTACACACAGAGAAACACACAATGCATCCCTTATACACAAATACACACTGCAACCCTTACACACAAAGACAATGCATCCTTTGCACACATACACAGAAACACACAATGCAAACCCTTACACACACATGCAAACACACACACTGCTTTTCTTAAATACACACAGAAACACAATGCATCTCTTGCACACAGTTACAGACACACACTTTGCATCCCTTATGCATACAAACACAGATTCACACAATGCATCCGAGAAACACACAATACATCCCTCATACACAAATACACACTGCATCACCTACACAATCTAATATCCCTATACACTACATACCATAAGCACACATTTTAGATCCTCTACAATAACACATAGCACATCCCCTACACACTCCACTCCCTGTGAGCGAACTCATGGGTGGAACATATAAGTGGACTTATGAGTGGGCCTTATGGGCATACTCACTGTCAGGCCCTGGGGCTGTGTATGGGGCTTGAGCTGTGTAAGGGGCCCCCCAAAAATGGAGCTGCTTCCCATTCTCTCAGAACATTGAATTTTGTGACCACAGTTGCAAACAGCCTCCAGAGATCCTGTTCTACACCAGACTAGTGGAGCCAAACTGCAGCCCATCATCATCCTCATCTGATTGTAAGTAGGCAATCTAGTATATTATTAGTGACACTAATCTATAATTTACCTCACATTAAAGGGATACTATAGTCCCCAGAACCACTTCAGCTTAATTAAGTTGTTCTGGTGTCTATAGCTGGTCCCTGCAGGCTTTTTAATGTAAACACACACTGTGTGCAGCACTGGCGTTAGTTCATATGGCATATCATATGGGTGGGACATTGTGATGTCACATGGGGGACGGCAAATTTTTCTTTTGCCTAGGGCGGCAAAAAACCTTGCACCAGCTCTGATCCTGGGCAGGTGCACCAGTCTACTGGTGACCCACAGGATGGGAGTGCACCAATTGCACAGCACTCTCCTCCTGCCCAGACCCGTCTTTACCGCAGTGCAAGTGCCCTCTGCCCCTAATTTACAGTGGCTCACACTCACAGCAAGCAGTGCCTGGAGCCCTTTGCAGAGACAGGAACAAAGAGGTTCTGCGGCAGCTGGCCGTCCTTCAAGCATTACATTAACCAGCTGTTCCCCATGCAGCCACAGGTGACGCTGTGCTGGGAGCAGGGGCGGACTGAGAGCCTTTGGGGCCCCCGGACAAAATTAGATCCCAGGCCCTTTGAAGGCCAAATATACGTGCATTAAATAAATGTTAAATATAACTCATAATACGGCATTCCTTTGGATGTGTATATTGTGAAGACCTGTGTATCAATGCATGTTTGTATTTGAGTCTGTGTGAATGCACTTGTGCATGTCTGGATAACTACATGTGCTTTTTTGTATATAGTGTCTGTGTGAATGCATATGTGACAGGTGACAGAGTGTGTGAGGGAGAAGGTGACAGGTGGAAGAGTGTGGGAGGTTGTGACAGGTGGCAGAGTGAGGGGGTACCTGGTGGCAGAGTGAGGGAGGGGTTGAGTGGTGGCAGAGTGAGGGGGAGACACAGTGAGTGGGGGTGACTGGTGACAGAGGGAGGGAGAGGGGGTGACTAGTGTCAGAGTTAGGGAATGGGTGACTAGTGGCAGAGTGGGGGAGGGAGGGAAGAGATGACTAGTGGCAAAGTGAGGGAGGGAAGAGGTGACTGGTGACAGAGGGAGGGAGTGACTGGTGACAGAGGGAGGGAGTGACTAGTGACAGAGGGAGGGAGTGACTAGTGACAGAGAGAGGGAAGGGGTGACTGTCACTAGTCACCCCCTCACTCTGTCACTAGTCACCCCCTCTGTCCCTAGTCACCCCCTTCCTCACTCTGTCACTAGTCACCCCATCCCTCTCTCTGTCACTAGTCACCCCATCCCTCTCTCTGTCACTAGTCACCCCATCCCTAACTCTGTCACTGTGAAGGAAGGAAGGGGTGACTGGTGACAGAGTGAGGGGATGCCTGGTGACTGAGTGAGGGAAGGGATGACTAGTGGCAGAGTGAGGGAAGGAAGGGATGACTGGTGACAGAGTGAAGGAATGACTGGTGACAGAGTGAGAGAGGGGGTGACTAGTGAAAGAGTGAGAGGGGGTGACTAGTGACAGAGTGAGGGAGGGAGTGGGTGACTAGTGACAGAGCGAGGAAGGGGTGACACAGTGACAGAGTGAGGAAGGGGTGACACAGTGACAGAGTGAGGAAGGGGGTGACACAGTGACAGAGTGAAGGAGGTGGTGACTGTCACTATTCACCCCATCCCTCCCTCTGTCACTAGTCACTCCCTCCCTCACTCTGTCACTAGTCACTCCCTCCCTCTCTCTGTCACTAGTCACACCCTCCCTCACTCTGTCACTAGTCACACCCTCCCTCACTCTGTCACTAGAGTGAGGGGGTGACTAGTGGCAGAGTGAGGGAAGGAAGGGGTTACTAGTGATAGAGTGAGGGGATGACTGGTGACAAAGTGAGGGAGGGAGTGGGTGACCAGTGACAGAGGGAGGGAGGGAGTGGATGACCAGTGACAGATGGAGGGGGTGACACAGTGACAGAGTGAGGGAGGTGGTGACTGTCACTAGTCACCACCTCCCTCACTCTGTCCCTAGTCACCCCTCCCTCTGTCACTAGTCACCCCCTTCCTCACTCTGTCACTAGTCACCCCCTTCCTAACTCTGTCACTAGAGTGAGGGGGTGACTAGTGGCAGAGTGAGGGAATAAACGGGTGACTAGTGACAGAGTGAGGGAGGTGGTGACTGTCACTAGTCACCACCTCCCTCACTCTGTCACTAGTCACCCCCTCCATCTCTTACTCTGTCACTAGTCACCCCCTCCCTCACTCGGTCACCAGTCATCCCCTCCCTCTGTCACCTGTCACGCCCTCACTCTAGTGACAGAGTGAGGGAGGGTGGGACTAGTGACAGAGAGAGGCAGGGGGTGACTAGTGACAGTAAGGAAGGGGATGACTAGTGAAAGAGTGAGAAAGGGGGTGACACAATGACAGAGTGAGGAAGGGGGTGACACAATGACAGAGTGAGGAAGGGGGTGACTAGTGACAGAGTGAAGGAGGTGGTGACTGTCACTAGTCACCTCATCCCTCCCTCTGTCACTAATCACAACCTCCCTCACTCTGTCACTAGTCACCCCCTCCCTCTCTCTGTCACTAGTCACACCGTCCCTCACTCTGTCACTAGAGTGAGGGGGTGACAGGTGACAGAGTGAGGGAAGGGGTGACTAGTGGCAGAGTGGGGGGATGACTGGTGACAGAGTGAGGGAGGTGGTGACTAGTGACAAAGTGAGGGAGGTGGTGACTGTCACTAGTCACCACCTCCCTCACTTTGTCCCTAGTCACTCCTCCCTCTGTCACTAGTCACCCCCACCCTCTCTGTGTCACTAGTCACACCCTCCCTCACTCACTCTGTCACTAGAGTGAAGGGGTGACAGGTGACAGAGTGAGGGAAGGGGTGACTAGTGGCAGAGTGAGGGAAGGAAGGGGTGACTAGTGACAGTGAGGAAGGGGGTGACACGGTGACAGAGTGAGGGAGGGGGTGACACAGTGACAGAGTGAAGGAGGGGGTGACTGGTGGCAGAGTGAGGAAAGGAAAGGGTTATTAGTGACAGAGTGAGGGAGGTGGTGACTGTCACCAGTCACCACCTCCCTCCTTCTGTCACTACTCCCTCCCTCCTTCTGTCACTACTCCCTCCCTCCTTCTGTCACTAGTCACCCCCTCTGTCCCTTACTCTGTCACTAGTCACCCCCTAACTCACTCTGTCACTAGTCATCCCCCTAACTCACTCTGTCACCAGTCATCCCCCTAACTCACTCTGTCACCAGTCATCCGCTCACTCTGTCACCAGTCATCCCTTCCTTCCCTCACTCTGCCACTAGTCACCCCTTCCCTCACTCTGTCACCAGGCATCCCCTCACTCTAGTGACAGAGTGAGGGAGGGTGTGACTAGTGACAGAGTGAAGGAGGGAATGGGTGACTAGTGACAGAGTGAGGGAGAGGTGACTAGTGACGGGGGGGTTACCTGTGAGGGAGGGTGTGACTAGTGACAGAGGGAGGGAGATGGTGACTAGTGACAGAGGGAGGGAGATGGTGACTGTCACTAGTCACCCCATCCCTAACTCTGTCACTAGTCATCCTCTCACTCTGTCACTAGTCACCCACTCCCGCACTCTGTCACTAGTCACCCCCTCCCTCTGTCACTGTGTCACCCTATTCTTCCCTCTGTCACTGTGTCACCCCATCCCTCCCTATGTCACTAGTCATCCCCTCCCTTACTCTGTCACTAATCACCCCGTCCCTCACTCTGTCACTAGTCACCCCCTCCCTCTGTCACTGGTCATCCCCTCCCTCACTCTGTCACTAGTCACCCACTCACTCTAGTGACAGAGTGAGGGAGAGGGTGACTAGTGACAGAGTGAGGGAGGGAAGGGGTGACTAGTGACAGAGTGAGGGAGGGGGATACTAGTGACACAGTGAGGGGGTGACTAGTGACAGAGTGAGGGAGGGGGTTACTAGTGACACAGTGGGGGGGTGACTAGTGACAGTGGGGGGGGGTGACTAGTGACAGTGAGGGGTGATTAGTGACAGTGAGGGGGTGACTAGTGACAGTGCAGGGGTGAGGGACTAGTGACAGGAGGGGGGGTGGACTTAGTGACAGTGGGGTGATTAGTAACAGTGGGGGTGGGATCAAAGACAGTGGGGGTTATTAGTGTCAGTGGGGGGTTATTAGTGTCAGTGGGGGGTGACTAGTGACAGTGAGGGGGGGGTGGATTAGGTGACAGTGAGGGGGGGTGGATTAGTGACAGTGAGGGGAGAGGGGGTGATTAGTGACAGTGGGGTGACTATGACAGTGGGGTGACTAGTGACACGGTGAGGGGGTGACTAGTGACAGTGGGGGGGTGACTAGTGACAGTGGGGGGAGGTGACTAGTGACAGTGGGGAGGTGACTAGTGACAGTGAGGGGAGGTGACTAGTGACAGTGGGGGGGTGACTAGTGACAGTGGGGGGTGACTAGTGACAGTGAGGGGAGGTGACTAGTGACAGTGAGGGGGTGACTAGTGACAGTGAGGGGGGGTGACTAGTGACAGTGGGGGGTGACTAGTGACAGTGGGGGAGGGGGGGGTGACTGGGGTTACAGGGGTGATTGGTGACAGGAGGGGGGTGACTAGTGACAAAGTGGGGGGGAGGGGGTGACCCAGTGACAGTAAAAGTGGATTGGTGACAGTGAGGGGGGGGACTAGTGACAGTGAGGGGGGGTGGAGGGTGACTAGTGACAGTGAGGGGGGATGGAGGGTGACTAGTGACAGTGAGGGGGGTGGAGGGTGACTAGTGACAGTGAGGGGGGAGGGGGTGATTAGTACCTACCTGTGTCTCTGCTTCCTCTGCTCTCTCCCAGGCTGCTGCTCCTTCCCCTCGCTGGGCTCTGTGTGAGAGGAGTAAACAGGAAGTGATGTCACTTCCTGGCCCCTCTCCCCATCACACAGAGCACCGCGTGGGACAGGGAGAAGGAGACCTGGCAGAGAGGAGGTGAAGCTGCCAGGTCTCATGGGAGGGAGGGGATTTAGAGAGTGGTAGGCTGTGGGGCCCCGCGCTGCATCAGGGGCCCCACAACCTATCAATTAAAAAGTTTTTTGTTTTTTTTTGCCGTTCCAGTTGGAGAGATCTCTGATCTCTCCAGCTGGAGCATGGCTGTGCTGCCGGGCCCCTGACTGCCTCGGGCCCTCGGTCCATGACCGAAGTGCCCGAGTGGTCAGTCCGCCCCTGGCTGGGAGACTGTGATTACTCTTCACTTCCTCCCAGCCTACAGAGCAGCGCATGGGAGAGAGAGAGGAGGAGGCATGATTTAATCTTACAACAAATCCACTAAGCAAATCTTTATAAATTTGGGGGGATCAGCTCTGTTTCCACAGTTTATTGGTGTTTACTCTGTCTGTATTAATATTGAGGGATGTCTAAGTAGTAACATCAGTGTGTGTCAGCAGGGCCAGCCGTTGGGGTGTGCAAGCTGTGCGGTCATGCAGGGTGCCATGACAACAGAGGCGCCCGGCGGCCAACACAGCTCACAAGTTGGGGGCACCAGCATATTCAATTTATGGGTATGGCAAAGAGCTACTGATTAGCATAACATCAATATCCGTTATAAAACCAGGAAAGGTGGGCATGGATGGTGAACTGATTTGGTGGTGCAATGGGCCACTTGACTGGTTTTGCCCCCCAGGCCTAAGGCGCCAGCTCTCCCCTGGTACCTACCAAAAGTGTTGCAAGGAAGGAGAATCGATGAACCGGCATCAAGGTCATGGGCACACAAGGATCCTTGATACACATAGGGAGCGAAGGCTAGCCCATCTGATACAGTCACACAGAAGAGCTACTGTGCTCAAATTGCTAAAAAAAACAAAACATAATGCTGGCCATGATAGAAAGGAGTCAGAACACACAATGCATCACAGTTTGCTGCGTATTGGGCTGCGTAGAGGCAGACCAGTCAGAGTGCGCATGATGACCCCTGTCCACCACCAAAACTGCCTGGAGCAGTAGAAGAAGGTTGCCTGGTCTGATAAATCATTCCTTCTTTTAGATCAGGTGCATTGCCGGGTGCTTTGTGCAGGTCAGACGGCAGGTCAGCGAAGGCAGTGTTATGCTATGGGCAATATTCTGCTGGGAAACCTTGGGTCTTGGCATTCATGTTACTTTGACACGTACCTAGAGATTGTTCCAGACCAGATACACCCCTTCATGGCAATGGTGTATCCATAATATACTCTGCCACACTACAAAAATGGTTTAGGAATGGTTTGAGAAACATGAGAAATAGTTCAAGGTGTTGCCATGGCCTCTAAATTCCCCAGATCTCAATCCGATCAAGTATCTGTGTATCTGGCAACTTGCAAGACTTACAGTATTTGCTGCTCATGTTGTGGCTGATCAGTGTATGCTTTTGATATGATCTTGTTTAGTTACAGTGCGTATATAAGAAACCTGACTTTCAGTTTACACAATTAGAATGCTGATAGATTTGATGGGTCCATGTCTCAGTTTGGGGCATTATAGCATTTTAACTGTTTACATTACCCTGCAAAGTTCTACCCTTTGAAAGTATACACTTCAGGCTATCTTATATGATGTATATTAAGCCTTACTGAGCCACTTCTTTTCAATTTGTTCAAATTACACCATAAATGCATACCATTTGGCAAAATTAGACACCACAGGTCTGTCATGTAGTATATTTTGAGCTTTGTTATACAGCCTATTTGCATAATTTTCTTTCATAGTTAATGGTATTTTATTTTTGTCTTTTTTTACATGCACATTGCAATTTATCAATTTATTTAGTAAACATGAGATGTGTAAAAATGTAATAAACTAAATTATACTCAGCTATATCTCCGGAGTAAAGAATGACCCCCTTTGCATACCCTTGTCAATGGCAAATTGAAGATGGGTGTATGGTGCATTGAGTAGTTCATGCATTTAAATTAGTCCATAAACACATACCATTTGCAAATGTGAACACCATTGAATGACATATTCTGAAATGTATTTAGGTGCCATTTTTTCACAATTTATCATTGTTTATTCATTGTATATATTATAATTTTTAAATTCACTTATTTTGCTGCTTATATTTTAAATATCATATGTGCCACTGTACAATTATGCAACCTATGCAAAGTAATAATCCTAATCCTAAACCTAGCCTAATCCTCATAAAAAGGTGCATCATTTAGTTATTCCATCATGAGCCCTTCAGGGGAAAACATCCATGATGGAATAATTTGTTAAAGAGTTACATTTAATGGGCATCTCCGGGCAGGAAGAGAGCCCAAATAGATAAATATAAAGATATCGACAATAAATGAATTAATTCAGTCAGAATTTAATAACTACACTTGCCAGCTGCATTTTTTTTACCATTATGTCCTAAACCAACCAGCCCAATCCTCACATCACATGCCCTCTTTATTCAGTGTTGGAGTTCAGACACAATATAAATGTTTTTACAAATATGAGTCCTGTTTTGTTTAGGAACTGAATGAAAACTCTCTTTCTCTCTGGACATTACAGACACTTAATATTTTTGGGGCTTATTAGATGGTTAATAAAATATAGCTAAATCTAGCCACCATCAAATGATACAGATCTAGACAGTGCAATACAAAATTTAAAATCTAATTGAATATGCTGATAAACAGGTTACTAACACTCAATCCATGCAAATCATTTTCTCTATTATTTATTGTCTTTATATGTTGAATATTCAAATAGCAAATAAAACTTTTTACATGGAGTACAATAACGCACATCTAAAGCGATTAAAAGGACTCCAAGTACACAATGTACTGATGTTCATGTGCGATATATTTAAACTGCCTATCCTATGCAAAATCAAATGGTTTTGCATAGCTTACAGACAATAAGGGTTTACAGACTGGAATAAGATACAAATATTTCTGCAAGGCTCCTTTATCAAGGACATGTAATAACTTGCTTTTTGTGACATAAAATATTACAGGACCCAGCCAGTTGCAGATAACCACATTCTTAAATGTGAACATGTTGGCTGATGAGTGTATTATAAATTACACATTATCACAATAACTATTATGTTATACAATATTTTCTTCTGCATGAAACTCTTCATAACCATTTTGTGTGATTGAAATTCAAGGGACATCATATTAACTGTAATAAACCATAGCATTGAACTTTAGCAGA